GGCAGGGGCTCTACCACTGAGTCACACCCCCAGCCCCTCACTGGGGGATTCTAGGCAGGGGCTCTACCACTGAGTCACACCCCCAGCCCCTCACTAGGGAATTCTAGGCGGGTGCTCTACCACTGAGCCACACCCTAGCCCCTCACTGGGGAATTCTAGGCGGGTGCTCTACCACTGAGCCTGTTTTTTCTTTTAAGACACAGAACTTGAGGCTCTGTGGGGGAGACCATTTGCTCTTAGGCGCAGAGAGCAGCAGAGCTTTTTTTCATATGCTTGAACGCACACTTATTGAATACCTAGTGTTTGCCAGGCAGGGATGGAGGGGAGATGGATGATGTATTTCTGTCAGTCATTCAGATTGTGTGATTTTTTTTTTTTTCCCTCATCTCTCTTCACTGCTCCTGTCTGGGTGGGGGAAAGTTCCAGACCCAGCATGTAAGCAGATCTTGATGGCCCCCAGCTGGGCAAGTTCCCAGGACTCTCTCCTCCAGAGGGCCCGGTTCTATCCTGCATCCTCCATTGCTGAGGCTTGTACATAGGACAGCACTGCAGGGGTTAACTTCCTCTCTGCAGCCATGGGCTGAGGTGCCATCCAGTGAGAAGCCTGCTCAGCTGCTTGCTCTGGCCTGGCAGCCAATGAGAGACTCATGGGCTCAGGCTTTCTTAAGGAGCCAGTGACTGTCCTTGAAAAGAGGGGGATCCCCTAGCAACTGGTTATTTGGGGAGAAGAACAAGGGAATCCAAGGCTCTAGCAGAGGAAAAGGGAAAGTTCATTCAAGAAGGGGGTCAGGGCAGCCGGAGGTGGATGACCTATGGAAAACAGAGCCTAATGAAAAACCAAAGGGCCCTTTGAGACCTATGCTTGAAGTCGTGGGGTGGAGGGCGGTGCCTGGTGACAGGGTCTTTCTTGGTGGGGCTCTCAGGACCAGGGCTGGCAGGCCTGTGGAGCTCTGACAGGTAAGCGTGGGTGGGGATGAGGCAGGGCTTTTTAGAAGGGGCGGAACTTGTTCTGCATGGTCTCAAGCAGAGGAAGAGGCGGTGCTCGTCCCGGTGAGGTGAGCCACTAAAGTCCTCGGCAGGAGAGAAGAGTCTGTGAGGCTGGGTGCTGGGTGTGCCAGTCAGGGTGCACTCCACACTTCTGGGTTCTCTGAGGCTGGAAGTGACCAAGACAGACTGTGCCAAGAGATGCTCATCAAGAGAACAAAGTCTGGGAGGGAGTGTCCCTAAGGTGGATCTTAGAGGAATACAGAGGCTGCTGCTGGGAGGTGGCTTCCTGGGTCAAGGCACTTTCTACCAAGCCTAGCAACTTGAGTTCTGTCCCTGGGACACACATGGTGAAAGGAGATTCCTGTTGTCCTCTGACCTCTTCCTTACATATGCACATGTGTGCGCGCACACACACAGACGCGCACGCACACGCAGACACACACACATTAATAAATGTAATTTAGATGAGGTCAGGCCCGTTAAGGATGGTATTGCCGTAGACAAAAATAGAGAGAGACGTAGAAGAGGGCAAGTAGCCTTAGAATGGGAGCCCGCAAGGGCTGCTGGGAACACTGGGTGGGATATTAGCTCATAGTGAGATCCTTTAGATAATTCAGGTTTTAGCTATGTTAACTCATTCATTCCTTAGGCTGTCTCTAGGATGTGGGGATTCCTACTGTCCCCATTAGAGGGAAATGACGCACAGAGAAGTTAAGAAACTTGTGTATGGTCACAGAGGGCAGAGAAGAGGACCGGTCCCAGAGTTGTGGCTCCCCGGTGTTTAACAGAAGGACTTTGCTGTACTGTGTACCTCATTTGAGGAGAATGGTCTATAGCAAACGAAACCCATGCTTATCTACATTTTAGCCGATTGTAGATGAGGTTTGGGGAGTATGGGTCAGTGAAGTGATTTCTGGAATTCTGGTGGTACAGTGATCTGCACACATGGAACAGCTGGTTGTCTCTAGAGGAGCTGTCCCGAGGTGCCTCGAAGGGACATGGCTTCTAAGCCAGAGTGCAGTTAGAAGGGGAGTGAGTGGGAATGTGTAGCTGAGGTGCTTGGGAAACTGAACCAGAAGCTAGCGATTTTACCCAAATGTGGGGCATGTCCTGCAGCATGCCTACTCCCCCAAAGGCAAGAATGTGTATCAAAGTGGAATTATGGCTGGGAATGTGGCTCAACTGGTGGATGCTTGAAGGAAGACCTGGGTTTGATCCCTACTGCCACAAAAGCAAAACCAAACAAACCAATAGGACGCGGTGGGTGCATGTCTGTAAGCCTGAAATCCCAGCGTTCAGGAGGTGGAGGCGGCATGGAAACCAGGGACTGGAAGTCCAGCCATTGCCCTCGCAGGGATAAAACAATTGTTGACTTCAGTATCCATCTGAATAAAGGAAAGACATGTAGACTAGGGGGAGTGGCCATAACATTGATCTCCTTAAATGGCAGATGACAATTGTCCAAGGTATGAATGAGATAGTCCCAGTAGGTGATGCTCACGGTAGGTGGGTCTAAAGGCGGGGCATGTAGATGAGGGGCGTGGTCTTGAGCCCCGATCCAGAAAGGCTGGTAATACATTGAAGGAGGAGCGCCTTGAACGGCGGCTGTAGTCTAGGTAGCCTGTGAGACACTAGTAGCATGGTTTCCCATAGTTGGGGAATGAAGTGAAAGGGTGTGGTTAAGAGTGGGGCTAACTCCGTCCTGATCCCACCCCTTTCCACAGGATGATCCCTTCTACCAGCCAGACCTTCCTGGTGAATGATCTGGCGGCTGGCCGCGCCTATGACTTGTGTGTGCTGGCAGTCTACGACGACGGGGCCACCGCTCTGCCAGCTACCAGAGTGGTGGGCTGTGTGCAATTCACCACGGCGGGAGATCCCGCACCATGCCGCCCACTGAGGGCCCACTTCTTGGGCGGCACCATGATCATCGCCATCGGGGGCGTCATCGTAGCCTCGGTCCTCGTTTTCATCGTTCTGCTCATGATTCGTTACAAGGTGTACGGCGATGGGGACAGCCGTCGCATCAAAGGCACGTCCAGGTCGCCCCCTCGGGTCAGCCACGTGTGCTCTCAGACCAACGGCGGCGGCTCAGGCGCACAGCAGGCCTCCGCCCCACCAGCTCCAGACCGCTACGAGGCGCTGCGGGAGGTGGCGGTCCCTGCAGCCATCGAGGCAAAGGCGACCGAGGCCGAGGCGACTTCCACTGAGCTAGAGGTGGTGCTTGGACGCTCTCTGGGTGGCTCGGCCACCTCGCTATGCTTGCTGCCCTCCGAGGAAACTTCTGGGGAGGAACCTAGGGCCGTGACGGGTCCTCGAAGGAGCCGCTCGGGGGCCTTGGGGCCTCCAACTTCAGCGCCCCCAACGCTAGCTCTTGTTCCGGGGGGAGCCCCGGCCCGGCCGAGGCCACAACAACGCTATTCCTTTGACGGGGACTACGGAGCGCTGTTCCAGAGTCACAGTTACCCGCGCCGCGCCCGGCGGACAAAGCGCCACCGGTCCACGCCACACCTGGACGGGGCCGGAGGGGGCGCGGCCGGGGAAGACGGAGACCTGGGGCTGGGCTCCGCCCGGGCACGCCTGGCCTTCACCAGCACCGAATGGATGCTGGAGAGTACCGTGTGAGCGCCCGGCGCACGGGCACCGGGACGCCTGTGGGGCCGCACTTAGTTGCCCAGCCCGGCCGGATGCGGGGAAGGCTGGAGAGAAGGGATGCGCGAGGGGCGGGGCCAGCCGCAGTCGGGCCGAGCCCACTCGCGTCCGGGATTGGAGGCGGGCCGCCGGCCTCTCCGACTCCACCCCTCCGCCCCGCCCCCCGCGCGCTCGCGGACCTCGCCGGAGCCGGTGCCTTACACAGCGAAGCGCGGGGAGGGGCGGGGCCCCCCCACACTGCAGCACTGAGACACGAGTCCCCTCCCCCACCCGGGACCCTGGGGCCGGGGCGAGGGGCCCATTCCTTGTATCTGGCTGGACTAGATCTCATTCTGCCCCGCGGCGGCCTCCAAAGCCTCCAGCCCCCCCAGCCCCAGTCCCCTCCCTGGTCCCACCTGGTCTGGTTTGGAGGGAGGGGCTCCTCCTTTCTCCTCTCTGTGTCCACGTCTTTCCTGCCCACTGTCGTCCGTCTTAAGTCTTTCCCCACTTGTCTCCCTTTTCTCTGTCCCGTGGTCGTCTCTTCTCCCTCTGACCGCCCTTGATTTTTTTAGTTTATTTATTTATTTATTTTTTGTTCTGTGTCCTTGTCTCCTGATTCCCTCTCCTCAGCATCTCCCGGGCAGGTCCCACTGAAGGACCAGACTCTTCTTCCCTCTGCCTTCCTGTCCCCACAATGAATCCCCACACAGACAAAATCCAAAAACCAAATCCCTCTATCGGAGCCGGGACCCTCCGCCGCAGCAGAATTAAACTTTTTTCTGTGTCTGAGGCGGCTCTGCTGACGTGTGTGTGTGTGTGTGTGTGTGTGTGTGTGTGTGTGTGTGTGTGTGCGCGCACGCGCGCGTGCCTGTCTTTGGGGAGGAGGACTCTGAATCAGACTGAAAAGAGCATGACCGTGAGGACCGGGAAACTGGCAGGCAGACTCGGAGGGGGGAAATAGCAAAAACCACGAATGGCAGGTGGCTGGTGTGTGGGGAACCCTTAAACCATCCTGCCTCTCCTCACAATAACCCCAGGACTTGGGTACTGTTGGCTCCCTCTGCAGATGAGGACACTGAGGCCAGGTGGGTTAAACAACATGTCCTGGTATAATCAGAAGGGTGGAAACTTGAGATTAGTTTATTTAATAGTAATTTCAGGAGGCATAGTGGTCTTCGCCTTTAATCCCAGAACTTGAGAGACAGAGGCTGGCAGATCTTTGTGATCTTGAGGCCAGTCTGGTCTACATAATGAGTTCCAGACCAGCTAGGGTTATATAGTAAGACCATCTCAAAACAACAAAGTAATTCCATATAACATTTACTTACTTATTTGGTGTGAGTGTGTGTGGTGTATAATGTATGCTGGTGCATTTATTCATGTGTGTCAATGGGGAGGTCAGAGGTACATGTTGGGTGTCTCTCTGTCGTTCTCCACCTTATTTTTTGAGGCAGTCTCATCGGAGCTCACCACTTTGGCTGGACTGGCTGGCTATTGAACTCCAGGGTTCTCCAATATCCACCTCTGCCTCCAGCGCTGGAGTTATAGATGTGTTATTTATGTGGGTGCTGGAGGGGGTCTGAACTCAGGTCCCTGTGTTTGTGTGACAAGCACTACCCACTGAGACATCTCCTCAGACACATACACTACCTATGTATACGTGCATGAGTGTGTGTGTGTGTGTGTGTGTGGTTTTTCACAGGGTTTCCCTGAAAACTCACTATATAGGCTGGGCTAGCCTCCCAACTTTCTGTGACTTTCTTGCCTGTATCAGATGCTGGGATTGTGGGTCTGCATTACCATGCCCAATCTCAAACTGGCTTCAGATTTGTGGTGCTCCTCCTGTCTCTGCCTCCTGCGTGCAGAGATTATATGCTTGCAACATCACAACCTGCACTTTTTTTTTTGAGGCAAGATCTTGATTCATGTAGCCCAGGCTGGCCTTGAACTTTCAGTTATCCGGCCTTAGCCTCTGGGGTGCCAGATTTATGGGCATGTGTCCTGGGAAAACAGACTTAACAGCATGGGTAGAAATTGGGCACGGGGGATCATGCCTATAATCTTGGGCAGTAGAAGCAGGAGAATCAGAAGTTCAAGACTGGGTTGGCAAGTTGGCTCTGTGAGTAAAGATACTCGCCACCAAGTCTGAAGATCTGAATTTGGTCCCTGGGATCTACATGGCCTAGCACATTCTCACCCCCCACAAAATAAATAGATAAAATTAATTTTTTTTAAAGTTCAAAAAGAGATGGCTCAGTGGTTAAGAGCACTTGCTGACCTTATGGAGAACCCAGGTTTGATTCCCAGTACCCACATGGCAGCTCCCCAGTTCCAGGGGATCCCATGTCCTCTTCTGGCTTCTGTGGGCACATGTGTGATGCACAGGCATGCATACATAAATCAATATATATTTTTTTGAGACAGGGCTTCTCTGTGTAGTTTTGGTGCCTGTCCTGGAACTCACTCTGTAGACCAGGCTGGCCTTGAACTCACAGAGATCCGCCCACCTGCCTCTACCTCCCGAGTGCTGGGATTAAAGGCGTGCGCCACCACCTTAAAGAAAAAAAAGTTCAAGACTATCATCTACATGTAGAGTTTGAGACCAGCATGGGCTACATGAGACCCTGAGTTTTTGTTTTGTTTTGTTTTTTGTTTTTGCCAGCAAAATAAGTAAAAAATAAAAAGGCACGTGGATTTGGGCAAGATGATACAGCTGGCCTCCCAGCTACTCAGGAGGCTAGGGAAGGGTGATTGCTTGAGCCCAGGGCTCTGAGGCCAGTCCTGGTAACACAGCAGACACTCTAAAACCTGCAAACATCAGTAATAGTAAAAGGCAGGTGGGCCAACTTCGGACCCGCCCTCAGCTTGAAGCCCTTTCCGCTGGGCAGTTTCTGCCCCTCTTGGCTGCCCACATTGTGAAGGACAGATATCCATGGTCCTGTTTTACAGACAGAGGCCAGAGCCAGAGGCAAAGGAAGTCTCCTGTCAGAGGGCTCCACCCTGGCCTGCTTCCCATAAAGAAAAGAGTAATTGGCAGTTTGCCTCTGGAGCTGTGTCTGGAGGCTGGGGAATGGCTCCAGTGACCCTAGCTGAGCTTGGGTCTCCAAAGCCAGATATTAAGGGAGTAGAACTCTGTGCTTACCCCTGTGAGCTTGATGGATGGTAAGTGGAGCAGGGTCTGCTGGTAGCAGTTGGGCGGCGGGGGGCCCGGAGGAGGAGCTTTCTAAGAACTGAGGACTTGCCTGGGGAGGCAATGGTGGTTTGGGATAGGGTAGGGGATCTGGGCATCTCGGTCCTTGCAGATACCTTGCCATGAAAACTCCTTCCTAATCCTGGGGAAAAAGGAAGAAGGCTTCAAGCCAGCCAGGGGCCCCCTGAGGCCTGGGGAGGAGGAAAGCAAGACAGAAATAGAAACGGAGCCAGAGGGAGGAAGCTGGTCTGGGCAGAGAGGGTGGGAGGCAGCAAGGACAGCGGCTCCAGAGAATTCCAGGCCAGGTGGATGCCTCACCCAGTGGCCCAGGATCCCTGTCACTGACGATGATACCTAGATGCAGACTGCCCCCACCAACTGGGCTCTGTGCTCACACATCCTGCCTAATATGTGAGTGAGTATAGCATCGAACCCAAGGCACTACACGGGACACTCGCGAAAGGTCATCACTCCTGTAAGAAGCAGGGTCACAATATGTAGCTCTGTACCCTGCAACTCATGGACTGATAAAGCTTTACTGAGCATGTGCCATATGCCTGGCCCAGTGTAGGGCTTTAGCAATGAACTCCTAGGCATGGTGGCACAAGCCCTCAGTCCAGCATTTGGGAGACAGAGGTGGGAGGACCTCAAATTCCAGGCCACCTGATGATATAGCAAGACCCTGTCTCAGAAATAAAGGCTGAAAGCTGGGCGGTGCTGGCGCACACCTTTAGTCCCAGCACTCTGGAGGTAGAGGCAGGCAGATCTCTGTGAGTTTGAGGCCAGCCTGGTCTACAAAGAGTTCCAGGACAACAAGGGCTACACAGAGAAACCCTGTCTTGAAAAACAAACAAACAAACAAACAAACAAAAGTCCTGGTAGAACATGCCTATGGTCCCAGCTCTCAGGAGGCTGCAGCAGGAGGATCAGAAGTTTGTCATTGTTTGCTACGTAGTAAGTTTGAAGTCAGCTTGGACTAATTTTTTTCTTCATATATATATATGACTTTCATTTGTTCTTTTCTTCTGCTTTATTTATTGGTATGAGGATATGAGACTTCCAGTTTCTGCAGCCATTTTGTGAACATGCAGCACTAAGCTTAGGATTAAAACTGTCATTCTGAGGAAGGTAGAGGGAAGCACATGGAAAACAGTCTTTGACAAACCCCTAGACTTCAAATATAGCCAGATGATGTGACAGAATGTATCGATTTTTTATTTTTTGTGTTATGTGTATGGGTGTTTTGCCTGCATGCCTAACTGTGTACCATGTCTGTGCTTGGTGCCAGAGAGGTCAGAAAAGGAACTGGAGTTACAGATGGTTGTGAGCGGCCATATATGTAGTGGGAATTGAACCTGGAACCTCTGGAAGAGCAGCTAGTGCTCTTACATATTAAACTATCTCCCCAGCCCCAAAACAAAATGTTTGAAATATCTAAAACGTATTAGCTGGCTTTTCTTATCATCTTTTTGCCCCCAGCATCTCACTATGTAAAACTGGCTGACCCAGCTGGGCAGTGGTGGCACACACCTTTAATCCCAGCACTCGGGAGGCAAAGGCAGGCAGATCTTTGTGAGTTCGAGGCCAGCCTGGTCTACAGAGCGAGATCCAGGAAAGGCTCAAAGCTACACAGAGAAACCCTGTCTCAAAAAACCAAACCAAACAAACAAACAAACAAAAAAACTGGCTGACCTAGAATTTCCTAAGAGGACCAGATTGGACTTGAACTCACTGCCAGAAATCCACCTGCTTCTGCCTCAAAAGTGCTGGGATTAAAGGTGTCCACTACCATGCCACCCTAAGGTGGGTGTGGTGGTCAGAGGATGAGTGGGAGGGTGAGTTCTTTTCTTGTACTGTGTGGTTCCTGGGTAGCAAGCTCGTGTCCACAGTTCTAGAGCCGAGCAATCTTGTGGAGCCTAATACACTGGTTTTGTTTGGGGGTTTATTTTTTGTTTGTTTTTTGAGACAGGGTTTCTTTGTGTAGCCTTGGCTGTCCTGGAACTCACTCTGTAGATCTTTAAACTCACAAAGACCTTCCTGCCTCTGCCTCCCAAGTGCTGGGATTAAAGATGTGCCCCACCACTGCCTGGCAATACACTTGATCTTATATGTGATGACAAACTCCTTTTTATTTGTGCCATATGAGTTGGGTTTTCTTTGTTTAGATGTATGTGTGTCTGTGTTTTGCATGCGTGTGTATGAGCTTATATATGCATGTGGAGGCCAAAGGTCAATACCAGCTAACTTTTGAATTGATCTCCATATTTTTTTAAACATGTACTTATTTTTATATTATGTACACACATGAGTGCCAGCATGTATGTATGTACACCAAGGGTGCCCATGGAAGCCAGAAGAGGGCATTACATCCCTGGGACTGGAATTATATATGGGTGGTTGTGAGCCACCATGTGGGTGCTGGGATCCCAATTTAGGTCCTCTGCAAGAGCAGCCAGTGCTCTTAACTGATGAGCCGTCTCTCCAGGCCCCAAGTCTGAGCGTTTTAGTGTGTATGTACTTGCTTGTGTATATATACATGCGCCTGTTAATGGAGGCCTGAGGTGCATGTTGGGTTTCTTCTCAATTACTTTCCACCTTATTTTTTGAGCCAAGGTCTATAACTAAATCTGAAGCTTACCAATTGCTAGATTGGGTGAAAAGCTAGCCCTAGGGATCCTTGTCCTGTGTCCACTTCCAAAGCTCACTCTATCTTTTCTTTTTCTTTTTCCATGGGTGCTGGGGATCAGAGCTAAAGTTCTCACTAGTGTATAACCTTTCCTGCCCATGTTGGTTTTTCTGCTTCCTTGATATAGGAGACAGCAACCTGAATGAGAGAGACCCCCATCTGTCTCAGAGACATTATTTAAAGGAGAGCTACACAGCACATACAGACTAGAGAAAGACTATAAGCATGTTTATAAATACATGTGAATGTGGATAAACCACCCAATGACACATCTTTGGTTAGCTGCTCATTTGGAGAAGTGGTCCCTTGGATACATATCACAGAAGACAAACACATAAACGCACAGTCTTGAATGTCCTCTGCACCACACCGACATCCACACTTCGTCACATTCCCACAGGCACACAGAAACACACCCTTAAGGATCACACATCACAGAAGAGTCCAACTCCTCACTGTTTATTTGCATATATTGTATAAAAGTATGAAAATAAACCCAACCTGGGTTGCAGCTTCATAAATAAAGGGTGAGAGGAAATAAGTTAAGGTAGGTGTGGGGCCGAGTGTAGAGTGCAGAGTCTCTGACACGCGGTGCCCGGCCTCTGTACTCAGGCACACTGATCTCCGCTGGCCACACACTTCAGGTCCCGGATGAGCAGGCGGAAGAGGTTGGAAGTGACAGAGTCCTCCAGGCAGCCGGGGGTCTCCTGAAAGGACAGGGCTGGCTCAGGGGCTGCCAGGACTCAGGGCTCCCAGGCTCTGCAGACCCCAGTCCCCTCCCCAGACTCACCTTCCTCTGGGCCTCCTGGAGTCTGTGCAGCCAGCGTGAGAGGCGGCGGCTCACAGGCCTGGGCTCTGCTGTGGGCTGAGGCTGCGTCTGTGGACAGAGGAGGGGACTGTGAGCCTGCTGCTGGGACACAGGGAAGCCCAGGTGGCTGAGGGACAATGTGGGGGAGCCAGGGGCCCAGGACTCACACAGGCCTGCAGCTGTGAGTGGATGTGGCGCAGGGTGTGAAGAGGCTGGTCCAGGATGGGGACCAGGGCTGAGTCAGTCATGTTCTCTAGGACCTTCAGTGTCAGGGCCAGCTCAGCCTGCAAGGCCCTGGGGCGCTCCTGGACCTGAGAATAGGTGAGAAATAACACATAAGGGGGAGAAACAGGCAAGAAGGCTGAGGTAACCACTGGGCATGTGGCTCAGAGTGCTTGACCAGAAACTTCCACTGATGGGATGGGATATGGCTCAGTGGTAGAGCCCCTGCCTAGAATCCCCCAGTGAGGGGCTGGGGTGTGGCTCAGTGGT